TACTTGGAATCACACTGGAATAGCTAGAAATAGGCAGGAGATGAACCCTAGATGCAAGTCGGCATGGCCCTGGGCCCTTGAGGGCCTTAGAGAAGGCAAGAATGACATGAGAGAAGCCATTGGAGGCTTAAGAGACGATGAGAGGTCACCAGAGATGGCCGGAGATGTGAGGTCGGCCTTTCAAGATTAGGGTTAGGTTGAGAGTGTTTTGAGTGAAGAGAGGATTTTAGGGCGGCAGTGTATAGAAAATGATTAGGGTTAAGGGGTCGTTTGGAATTAAAAAGGAAAGAACCAATACAGGTCGTCTGTTGATCTTTCAGATCAACGGCCATGATCTGATGGGTTTTGGGTCGGGTAATTCAATTAGGAATTGGGATGGGGTATTGGGTTGAATTTAGGCTAAAATTGAAATACATTTTGGCTAAGTTTTAAATAGCTAATTTAACCCTATATAATTTATAATAAATAATAGATGATTTCTTAAAAATAATTTCATGTACTAAAATAATTTAAAATAGATATTTAATATTTAAAAAATATAGAAGATCATTTGATGCATATAAATGTAATTATGCACTAATAGGGCTAGTATTGCAAATATATGCAAATTAGTTTTAAAAATGCTGCAATTACAAAAAATGTATAAAAAATACTTATGCACTATTTTGGCATAAATATAGGAATTAGATGGCTAAATTACCACAACAATAATTTGAAGGATAATTATTGAAAATTTTATAAGTAAAAGGGGNTGAAAAACTGGGTATCAACAACTGCCTCTCTTTACCCGGTAAAGATGAAAGTGTTTTCGGATAAAGAAATGATGGCCAATTTTGACCGGGCAGGATGTTTTGAAAGACAGAGGCCGGACTCCAGTCTTTGAGTTGCCTACATATCCCTGATTTTACAGAAATCAGGCCGTGTATAGTTCTGGATCCATCGACGGAATATGCCAATGAAATTATTGCAAGAACGGATACGCGATGCGGAAGAGACTATGGTGAGCGGTTAAGGTTCGGGACAGTTGAAGGAACTGGAGCGAGATCCTTCCTGCCAGGATAGCGGTTTCTTACTGGTTACCTGAAGATAAAAGATGCTACAAACATGTATTTGCGAAAATTTAAACATAATGTATATTTCCTTTGGACCATGAAGGTTGTCTTTGGACAGTTAAAGATGACGTCCTTGGACCATGACATCCTGGGCCTTGAATTGTTTAGTGAGGGATTCGCTGGCCATGAAATGATGTTCCGGGCCATGAAAATGGTGCCTCCGAACCATGACGCCTTTGAATAATGATATGCAAATTTGAGAGATCCTCAGGCCATGGTATAGTGTCTTTCGGCTATGAGGATGATGCCTTTAGACTATGACGCCTCCGAATAGATTGGTGATATTTCAGCCTATGATATGCAATAATATGATGTTAACAAAACAAGGCTTAGTCTTGTGAAATGGAGGGCAGAGCTTAGCCCAATTGAAAAAACAAATAGATAGTAAAATAGACCAATATTTGTGCAAAAATGGATAGTGCTTAATCCCATGCGAATGTGGAGACAAGGATTAGCCTCATACAGATATGGAGGCAAGGGGTTAGCCTCATGCAATGTATGCAAGGATTAGCCTCATGCAGTTATGGAGGCAGGGATTAGCCTCATGCAGGTATGGAGGCAAGGATTAGCCTCATGCAGTTATGGAGGCAGGGATTAGCCTCATGCAGGTATGGAGGCAAGGATTAGACTCATGCAGGTATGGAGGCAAGGATTAGCCTCATGCAAGTATGGAGGCAAGGATTAACCTCATGCAGGTATGGAGACAAGGATTATCCTCATGCAGGTATGGAGGCAAGGATTAACCTCATGCAGGTATGGAGACAAGGATTATCCTCATGCAGGTATGGAGGCAATGATTAGCCTCATGCAGGTATGAAGGCAGGGATTAGCCTCATGCAAGTATGGAGGCAAAGATTAGCCTCATGCAGGTATGGAGGCAAGGATTAGCCTCATGCAGCTATGGAGGCAAGGATTAGCCTCATGAAAATGGGGAGGCAAGGATTAGCCTCATGCAGAAAGCAAGTAGTAAGTAAAAGTAGCATATGTCTTAGGTGGAGATTTATATTCGATGTCTGATGGCCTGATTGATAGTGATCTTGCTACGTGCATATATTTGCGGATGTTATCGTCATGTCAGATGTGCCTCCGTTCAAAGAAAAATTGTAAATTCTGTGAGGGGGAGGTTGGTTCGTGCTTCATCTACCGGCATTCGCTTTGCTCCATCCTAAAAGCCTTTTGAGTTCCTCTATGTGACACCTGACTGTTACGGAAATAGAGTTTTCGAAAAAGATGCAATCATTGATGAAAATAGAGTTATTTAGAAATATGTTGATACATTAAGTAATTTTAGATGAACCAGAGACTATAACATATCTCAAAGGCATCATAGCTCTCTTATGTTAGAATTTTGAGGGTCCTTCTCAAAATTCTGCCCCAGTTTGGTAGAAGATTTTTGACTGTTTGCAGATAATAGGCCTTGCTGAATCTTCTTCGGAATTTGAGAATCCTTCTCAAAAATTTTCCCCAGTTTCCTTTCTGTCATACGATGGCGTTGGCTGAACTTGCTCGGGAATTTTGAGGGCCCTCCTCAAAATTCTGCCCCAGTTTCTGAACTTGGAGGAAATGAAAATTTTATTATGATATGATCGAACCCATAAGGCTGCCTACGTATACCCTCTTAAACGGGAATCAGGTCAAGAGTAGTTCAATTATATTAGAAGAGAAGATGTAAATACTCTAAGCATAGTATCTCTTGACTGCGTCTGAATTGATTGGTTTTGGCCAGATTTCTCCATCCATTTCTGCGAGTATGAGTGCTCCTCTTGTCAGTACGTTGTGAACCATGTACGGACCTTGCTAGTTGGGAGAGAATTTCCCTTTGGCTTCACCTTGATATGGGAAGATTTTATTCAATACCAGCTGCCCTTGTGTGAACTGTATTGGTTTTACCCTTTTGTTGAAAGCCCTGGTCATTTTGCTCTGGTAAAGTTGGCCTTGACATACCGCGTTCATCCGTGGGATTGGATATCTTAGAGCCTAGCATGGTACTTACTTGTGTTGTGTCATAGTCGTCTTTGAGCGCATTAAGGTGTTCTAGTTTGATGATCCCCACTTGTTTGTCCTTAAGGACATGGTGCGACGAGGTGGTTCCAAGGAGGTGACTATTAGTGATGATGGGATGTTAAGACTTTAGGGTCAGATCTATGTCCTGAAGGTGGATGGTTTAAGAGAGTTGATTCTTGAGGAGGCTCATAGTTCGCGGTATTCTATTGACCCAAGTGCTAAAAAGGCGTATCGTGATTTGACGAAGCCTTATTGGTAGAGAAGGATGAAGAAGGACATTGTTGAGCATGTTGCATGGTGCTTGAATTGTCAGTAGGTCAAGTATGAGCATCAGAGACCAGGTGGTTTGCTTCAACGGTTAGATATATCGGAGTGGAAGTGAAAGCATATCACTATGGATTTTGTGGTTGGGTTGCCACAGACCATGAGGAGATTTGATGTTGTGTGTGTCATTATGGACTGACCAAATTTTCACATTTCATTTTGGTCACACGACTTCCTACACGTCTGAGCAATTGGCTCAGATTTATCTTAGAGAGATTATTTGCCTATATGGTGTGACGATGTCTATCATTTTGGATCGAATCGATCAGTTTATGTCCCATTTTTGAAGAGCAGTGCAACATGAGTTGGGCACACGGGTTGAGTTTAGTACGACATTTCATCCTCATATGAACGGACAATCCGCACATACCATTCAAATCTTGAAGGATCTGCTAAGAGCATGTGTCATTGATTTTGGAGGCCAATGTGATTAGTTTCTAATGTTAATAGAGTTCCCCTACAACAAAAACAACAACTAGTTGAGTATCGAAATGGCTCCATATGAGGTCTTATATGGGAGGTGATGTCGTTCTCCAGTTGGTTGGTTTGAGCCAGGGGAGTCTAGGTTATTGGGCACCGATCTAGTTCGTGATACTTTAGAGAAGGTAAAATTAATTCAGGATCAACTTCGTACATCGAAGTCCAGGAAGAAGAGTTATACTGACAGGAGGGTTTGTGATGCATCTTTCATGGAGAGTGAGAGAGTTCTTCTCAGAGTTTCGTCTATGAAGGGCGTGATGAGGTACGGGAAGAAGGGAAAGCTGATCCCTCAGTACATTGGTCAACTTAAGGTTCTGGGAGAGTGGGTGAGGTGGCCTATAGGCTTGCTTTTCCACCCTGCTTGTCGGGAGTTCTAATACGCTCAAATTACACTTAAATAAATAGTGTAAGAAGATCGGTGTCAAACATAATAACCCAACAAGGTTAGGGTCGAATCTTGCAGGGAATATGTGTGAAAAGGTTACTTGAGTAGTATGAAACTTAACTTAAGTCGTAATTCTACTCCGTTAGCTTAACAAAAGAATATTGTAATTGTGAATTATCAAAATAACTATTTTGTTATTAGAGTGTAATTAATTTGATTAAGAAAACCAAGGTTGTGTCCCCATCAATGGGATATAATGCTATCGGTGTTAATATGTTATATTTCTAATGGAAGATCCTTTGATATGCAAATGGTTCCTAAATGACTACTCAATATCCCAAGAGTTAGGTAGTATTTCCTCTTTATGATTTTCTCAAATATAAAAGAGTTGCAATTAAGAGCAACCAATTTATGCCAAATAGAACCTATTTATTCCTAAGCGATTCTATTAAACAAGGTTTAAAGCCTTGAGTTTTTGTTATTCAATTCTACCAAACCCTAACCCACTTTTCCAAGTTAAGATAGAGTGAAATGGCATTAGTCAATGTTTGCAACCATCAACATTAAATGAAGCATGAGAAATGAATAAATACCAACCAACCATTATATTTATATTCAATAGTAAATACCCATTAACATTACACCCATTTAGGGTCCACAACCTTACTATTTAAAACTAGCTACTCGTACTAGAATCCAAGAATAAAACAATAAATAAAGTCATAAAACATACAAAGATGACAAGATTCTCTTCTTCAAAAGCTTCCAAAATAATAGTGTATTCAACGCCTCTTTCTCAGACAAGATTTCCCACAAAAATCCTAGGTATTCTATTTATAATGGGCTAAAAGTCGGGGTCAAGATATGATAAAATACCCCTGGAGATCACATCTGCGACCGCAGAACACTTTTGCGGTCCGTAGAAGCACAATTTCATTGCATAATTGATTGTCCAGTTGCCCAATTTTCCATCGTAGATCCATTATGCGGTCCGTACATTGATTTCGCGATCTCATTTGATGTCGCAGAGTTGTTCTCGCAGAAACACTCTTTGCACTTATATGGTCATTATGCGGTCTGCATAAGTGTTATATGACGGAAAAATTTACTGCAATATCAATCCCAAAAACTGGCTTTATCTGCTTCACTCTACGGTTGGTTTGTGGCCCACACATCACTTTTGCGGTCGCAAACCTGCCACATTTCTGCCCTTCTATGGGTTTTTGTCATCTTTTCCTTGTTCTTGGTTCTTCAGGTCTAGCTTGTTGCAAAACACCAAAACTACATAAGAATTGACTTAAAATGCTTTAAAAGACAAGCTACAACCTATGTAATTAGTATCAAAAGTGTCGTAATTCTACGGCACATCAACACCCCCAACTTAGACTCTTGCTTGTCCTCAAGCAACTAAAATAAAGTCATCTTATCACATACTAATCTATTTTCAATAGATCGCAAAGTAGCAGTGACTATGGGTGGTGTTAACTATTAGCTAACAAGCATGCAATTTTTTTTATTCACCGTTCTTGGAAGACAAAGATCATTTAGCAATTCGGATAATCAGTTTGTAACCTTCGAGCCTCAAGAGCAATGACAGAGTGCTACCCACAGCTAGGTATGCACTTGTATCCTACTTCAAGAAACCTAGCTTCTGCTAAATCATGAAATTCATGCATGCTCACATCAAAGAAAATTCCTAACTCAACAAGTATGTAAAGGGGATACAATCAAACACTTGCACTAAGAAAGAAAGCTAAATCCTACAGGTATCAGTCCGTATGCTTGCCCTTATTTTAACTTATTGCTATCTCAGGAATGATTGATTGTAGATCACAAAGGTCTTTTCACAGGTTATAATGTAGGCTTTAGGACAGATTGGACGAATATTTGGGAATATAGTGGTTGCACCCTCCTTTAACTCTACATACACTTTGCTTCTTTACAACATATCCCTTATTGACATCTAGTTACCGACATAGAACCACCTCAATGTATTTCTTCAGTTTTCACAAGACTCCACACACATTTTTTTATACAGATATTTTTCTTTTGGAGCTTGAAAATCTTCATGTACACAACTTTGAGGTATTTTTTTCTATACTCAATATACAACCTTACCAATTTCAAATTAACACCAATACTCCCAACTTAGTCTTTTAGCCTCATTCTTAATCGTTCAAGGAGGGATGAGTTCAAAAGAGGGAGGGGTAAAAGTTGGTAATGTAGTAGCCAAGTAAAAGGTTGAAGGCTCAATGGAGGTAACTGGGATAATAGATTTACCAGGGAGGTTAATTTTGTCAAAATTTAGTTTACAATCACAAAGAGAGCCAAAGATCATTTCAACGTTCAATCATCAACCTGCGAATTGAATTGTGAAGCCAACCGGGCAAGTTCTAGACATTACAAGTTAAGCACATGCATTAGTTACACAAATTCTCACCCACTCACAACGCATAGACTATTCGACTTGGCATAACTTCAGCCTCAAGTGAATACAAGGCAACTCAAAGCTTCATCACATGATTTTTGAAATTCTAGGTAAGCACAAAATCAAAGAGCGAGCCTCGATCACACAAGAATGGCTAACCATTTATTTACAACATTTGAAGGGTGTAATTTATTCAACAAAAACTTATCACATGCTTGAAACTAGAACAAAAACACCAACCAAGTCAAAACGCTTTGTGCTTCAGCTATGGTTCTACTATTACACCCTTGGAAAAGAACCCGTCGAAGAAAAACCAAGAGGAGTTCATTGCTATATACAACACTGCACTATTTGGGGATTTTATACAACAATACAACACTGCACTATTAGGGGATTTTATACAACACTACAACACTGCACTATTAAGGTAAAGAGTTTATATACAAGTCTCAAAAATTGACTACCCCACCCCCATCCAAAGAGCATGCATTGTCCCCAATGCATTGAGAAAGTAAGAGCAAAGTTTAGGGGCTTTCTGGGGCGCACTAGGTGCTTGGGGTGCTGGGAGATGACATTGTGGGGACATTGGGTGGATCCTCTTACTTGACAGTAGATGGAGCATCCATGGGGCCGAAAGCTGACACCGTGGAGGCAGTAGGTGGAACCTCTGACTGTGTAGTAGTGCCTGAGACTAGAATAGGAAGCTCTACCAGTTGTGAAGCTGGGTCATGGACCAATGAGCTGCTAGCCTCACCTACTGATGGCTATGTGGTCGTAGGAGTGACTTTGGCGACCATATCTGCAATGAAGTGGGCAATGGTTGTCTGTACATCTGCTTCCTCTATGCTCGGTGTACATATAGAGACAACAATTTGTTTGCCTCTATTGTCCCGCTGATCATCCTCCTCCTCAAGTAAAACATCTTCATCAGTTTCCTCCTCATCAGTTTTCTCCTCAGATCCTTCAGATTCCTCCTCTGAATGATCATCGATGTGCACAACGAAGCCCGGAGCTTGTGAAGTCGCAATACCCTAGGCCATCTCAGCTGACATGAGGTTTTTGAAATCAAGGTTAAGGCTTGGAATGTGGGAGGTACCAGTGCCCTGCTCCCCCCTTCCGGAAGAAAGGAGGTCAAATCAAATTCCAGGTTCAGCATCTTATGCAGCTCTGACTTTAGCTCAGCTACCTCCCTTTTAAGTTGAGGCATGTCCCCAACTTCGCCTCACTCAACCCTCTCAAGGTGCACTTCAAGGTGCTTGAGTGGATCCTCATAAGATAGATGTTGTTTTTGAAGAGCAGTGATAGAGGTTTGGATCGGGGCGAGTGCTTTCCGGATGTGAGATAGAAGTTCTTTCGTCAATTTGTCTACTTTGGTATTTGCATGTTATGCCAGTAGACCAAGCTTTGAGAGTTCAAGCAATTAGGCATGTGGTGGTGCAGTGTCTGGTCTGGGAGTGGATGATGAGGTAGCCGGTACGGAAGGTATGTCAGGTACTGATTAGGCAGCAGGTGCTGCTGAGGCTGCAGGAGGAGTGAGTGAAGGCTCTTGTGGATCTTCGACCACTGTATCCGCAGTATCATTAATCCGAGTGATGTCAATGTCATGAATGGATTTTTCTAGGAGGTCATGTTTGGGGATAGGAGGGACCTCCCCAGCTTTACACAGAGCATAGATTAAGCATGGAAAGGGGAGCGAGGTTTCTTTCTGGTTTGCCCAGATTCCAATCTCGCGGAATATAAGTTTTCCCACATCCACCTTAATACCCAACATGATGCAAGAAATGAGGATCACCTTCTTGATCCTTATGTCGATTTCATTTCTCGAGGGCATTATCTGAGAACAGACAAAACTGAGCCAATATCGGCCTTCTTGGGTAAGATCCCTTTTGTGAATCAGCTGACGCTTAGTGATCCAAGATAAGGTTCCCTTGGCTATAGCAAAAGCTACCCAAGCACGCACGGATTCCTTGTTTTTAAGCTTTTCATCAAATTATGCCATGCCTGGCTCCCATTCCTCGAAATATACATCATTAATTGATCCGACATCACCGAGTATCTCTACTCCCCAGATTAAAATAGAGTCCAAGAATCTATGGTTTCTTTTTTGTTCTGTGTTCCTGGATGCAGCATAGAATTCCCTCACGAGTGTCTCGTTGTACTCCCCTGAAACCTGAGTGAAGGAATCTCATCCCTTTTTTTTTTATGTTTTCTAGCACATCGGGATAGTATTCTTTCAAACCATTCAAGCCTAGATAATTTTCTTCAAGGATTTTCCTTTTTTTCAGGCAATCCTTGTACAGAGTCCAAGAGCCGGAAATCCCAAACTTGAGATCTTCACCAATGTTTCGGCGTGCTTCAGCTTGGAGTTCAACTGGTGGTACAAGGTCAATCTGTGCCTCCTCCTTTTGAGACTTGGAGGAATGCTCAGATACACTTCTGGCTGTGTCAGGCCGTGTGCATTTGGATTGCTGTGATTATGGGCTCAAAGCAACAACTCATTTCTTTCTTAGAGCGGAAGGTGGTCGCGATGCTAGGGATTTCTTTGGTGCCATTCCTGTCAATTAATCAACAAATGAGTATGTGGTATGTCATGGACAACATGTTCAGCAAGAAAGAAAAATGAAAAACAAAGTTGTTTCTAAGATCAGTTCTGCGATCGCATAACAACTCTATGAGCCGCAGAACTTTTTGCATAATATAACCCTCAGAAGAAAAACAAATTTTGCGGTCTGCAGAAGTGGTCGCATAACAACTTATGCGACCGTAAATTGGTCGCATGTTGGTCCTCAAATATAGCATTTTATCTACCTCTGTATGCGACCATTGTGCGGTCGGCATAGCGTTTTTGCGGTCACAAATCCAACCTCCCGTGGGTTTTGAGAAAACTACCTATGACACAAAATGTGATGACTCTGCGGTCCGCAAACAAGTTATGCGGACCGCAAAGATCATCGTCCTTAAAAAAAAAGTCTTCACGCTCTTTTTAATGTATATAGCATTTCCTAGACTCAGTTATTGTACACTCAGCAGAGCGAAATCTAAGCACAATGCTATAATTTTTCAAACCTTTTTCTTTACTCCTTCTTTCCAATTCAAATCCCCAAACCACAATTACCCACAGTAGCCCCCAACCTAAATGTTTAGTAAAATCACTCACGAGGGATTACCCATAGCAAGAAGTTGGGAAAAAAAGAGAGCAATGATATCACATGGCATTTTTTCAATTGATTAAGCAAGAAAAAAGGTGGAAGTGATCATACCAGATATCAAGAGGATTGAGCGATGTTGGTCTGAAGCACGAGCAAGGTAAGCACTTCCTTTTCAATTCCTTTTTGATTTTTTTGTGTTGTTGTTTCAATGTTTTTGGTTGTTTTTATCTTTTCGTTTTGTGGTGTGCAGTGTGAGAGTGCCAAAAAATGGTGAAAATAATGGAGGGAGTTAGAGCTAAATACCCGAGAGGTTCGCGGTGAGGCAACCCATTGCATAACACATTATGCGACCACATATGTGTTATGCGATGGGTTAGTGGCTGAGTATTGTAAACTAACTTTGTGATAGGTTCTGTGGTCGCATAATCGTTATACGGGCCACAGAAAGTACATTTTCACCGAAATTTTGAAAGCTTAGATATCATTTTTTATGCCTGCATCTGCTACCATTATGCAATCCGCAAATCCATTATGCGGTCGCATATGTTGCCGTAGAACACATGTCTTGCTTTCCTTCATTTTCCTCTGCCATTGCATCATGTTTTATTGTATTTTGGGTCACCTGCATTCTTGTCACACCTCCCTTTTACCCGAGAGGGATATAAGAGAGTTTTTCCAATTAAAGTGACATAAATCGAAATGGGATTATTTATTTATTTCAGAATCATCACTTGGGATAGTTTATGGTCTCCCAAGTCACCGGTTTATTTTAAAATCCCAAATCGAGGAAATTGACTCTTATTTATGGTCTGCCAACACAGAAATCCGGGTAAGGAATTCTGTTAACCCGGGAGAAGGTGTTAGACATTCCTAGGTTCCGTGGTTTTAGCACGGTCGCTCAACTATTATTAATTCGCCTAATTATCTGATTTATTACATGTTTAAAACCTATTATGCATTTTTAACCTCTTAAAACTGCTTTTAATTATTTATGAAATTTGTTTGAACAAGTCGTGACATCGCGCGCTCATTGTTTTGGTACACATTGCAAACCGCGTCACATGAAATGCATCCGCGATTTATAACATGTTTATTTTTATTATTAATCGAAGTTATGGTCGGTCACATGAAATGCACACCCGAATTGGGGATTATCTATCATGTCTATGTCACGGGAACCGTACCCATAGTCACGATGATTAGCTACGTGCTAAAAAGTTTGCCTACCCACGTTTGGTCGGCCTAAGCATATTCCTAGCGGTAGTATAAAAAAAAATAAACTAAATAAACGAAGAAGAAAAGAAACAGGAGAATTCAATTTATGCCCATTCTTTCTCAACAATTAATTCCCAAAACCCCACGGCCTATCTCCGACAATGAAGCATACGAACAGTGATGAACACAACGAAAAAACAAACAAACATAGAAATAAACAATATATTGAATAAGCATTCAGACCGTACAATGGAACTAAATGACTAGGTAATTAGATAAATTCACAGGATACTAAACTAAATGGAGACAAGGAGAATTAATCAAAGCTACTGTTACTACATGAAACTTGCAATGCTTATTTAAGCTAATATGTTAGACTACTCTAAAGGACAAGTGCGAATCTAAAAATATAGCAGAGAAATATACCTATAGAATGGATGAGTGCAAGTGCTTAACACCACAAATAATCCAGTTCTCACAATTAACGAAATCCCTTATCCAGTGAAGAGAAAATTCAATATTTCAAAAGGAGTGAAAAGTCATGTTATGAAAAGCATTTTGAATCATACTTCAATTTGCAGAATTGAAGTCAACCAAATCCTAATCACTTCACGTCAATATTCACACAACTATGACCTTAGGTGAGTTTCATTTAAAACTTAAGAGACATGATGTGCAAAATTGTGTGAGAACCAATAAAAATCACTCTCCGGATATAACTCTGTTAAATATCAGTTTCAACCATGGCAAAGGAACAAACAAGACATGTAGACATTATCGCTAAACGCGAACACTAGCTTAGTATTTTCAGAGAAAAATCAAGTCCGAAGTAGACTAAGCTAAGTGATTGCACCTCGTACTAAAAACTGGCCGGTGACTTAACTTGTCATGACCACATTGAATCAACAACACACAAAGAATATCAGGAAAGAATTTAGTAACTTCAAGCCAACAAGAATGCATCGAGATATTCGTGAAAGTCATGAGGAAACATATCACTAATCAAAATTCACTTGACGGCAAGTTTCGATCGAACAAGTCACGGCAACAGCAAGAACTAAAGAGAAAATAGCGCCTCAGATTTATGCTTTGATCAATACAGTAATAAAATAAGAGAAAGAGCAAGGAGATGAACCTGAATGCGAACAACTTTCAATTTAATATGTTTAGGAACGAATACAGGCAAACCGGCGTCGAAATTGGAACATGCAACGGAACAAGAACAGGACAGCAACAATCGAACCACGATTAAGACCATGAACAGACCTCGGACAACTGGTAGAAACTCAAATCAGCTCCAAACCTCGGCTTAATCACGCAACCTCAACTATTTTTAGAAACAGAAATTGAATGGAAGAAACTAACATTTTTTGTGTATTTTTCTGATTTTGATGTAAGAACTGATTTTTTTGATCTTTTTTATATAGAATTGCCAATTTTCTGTCCAAAACCCCTCTCCTTGTTCATGTGTGAGCGTTGAGGCAGAAGGTGGGAAGTTGAAGGCTGGTGGGCAACGATTGGTGTGGCTGGAGATGATGGAGACAAGGTTGGGGTGAGCAGCTGCGGCTTCTTAGGGGTGTTTTTAGGTTGGGGTGTTCTAATGGTGAAGAAGAAGAAGTTCGAGGGGGGGGTCCCCTTTTTTGGGTTCTGCAATAGATCCTTTTTCTTTGTCTTAGCTGCCCGATTTTTTTCTAGGTTAGAGATGGTTATTAGGGTGGGCTTGACGATTATGGGCTTAGAATTTATGGGCTAGGTCTGGATTTGGCCAAATTTTGGCCAAATTTACCTTTAAAAGTGACCTTTTAACTCCACCAGACTAAAAATATTAACTCCTAAAATAATAAATATAAAATTGTGAAATCGGTCCTAATTAATTAAAACAAACTACATTACGACAAGAAGTTGTATATATTGATATATTCTAAGATTATACTAAAAATAAAAATAGGTTAAAAATAATATTTTTCTAACAATACCTAATACCTTAATTAGATAGAGAAAAAATAAAACTATTTTTTGTATTTTTTCAATATTCATTATAAAATAAAGTAAAAGAGTCTAAACTAGTTAAAATAGCAATATTAGACCTAAACTAAATATTTAACACTAAAATATGTAAAATCTTGGGGAGGGTCAAAAATTACATGTTTACAGTTGCCCCCTCTTTGACTGGAAACACGAAGAGTTTTCTAACAAAAAACGACTGGACAAATTTTTTGACCCGACCCTTATTTAGAAAGGCCAAAAACTAAAAAAAAAAAAGAGAATGTGACCAAGCTTTGGTATTTGAGTTGTATACATATCTTTGGCTATAAAGGAATCAGGCCACGTGTAGTTCAGAATTAGGACGAGTGATGGAGTACCGAGGTGGAGAGCCGATTGAGGTGCCATCGGGGTTCCGGTCCGCGGTTCCTATCATTACATCAAAAATCATAATTAAAAAAAGACTAAGCCTATCAGCTACGAGTTACAAGATTCCTATCTATGAGTCTTCTGAAGCTTGATCTTGAATCTTGGTTGGTTCTTCGTGCGGACTCTGATCTTAATCTTGATGCTTCTTAGCTGCAGGTGTTAGTTTATTCTTCCACGGCTTCTTCGGATCAAGACCGAACATGCAGTGCTCGTGATTTCAGCCATGTCTTGAGAAGTTCACATCTTTCATCTGCTTCTGCATTTGGATTCACTTCCCTCTCTTTTTTTCTTTTTTCTTTTTTTTTTTTCTTTTTCTTGTTTTTTCTTGGATTAAGGCTTCTTCTGTGGTCATCTCGGACTGTCGACTCGCATTCTTGATGCGAGCTTCTACTACTTCTATCTTGAATTGAATTCTGAAATGACTTCCCTCATTCTCCAAGTGGGTGCCTGCTAATGACTTAAAACTAGAAATGAATTCCAGTGTTCTCTAGGTGGGCGCCTGATACCGAGTTAAACTGAAATGAATTCCCTTGTTCTCCAGGTGGGCGCTTGCAACTGACTTAAAACTTGAAATAAATTCTCTCATTCTTCAGGTGGGCGCCTGATATTGACTTAAAATGAAATGAATTCCCTTGTTCTTTAGGTGGGCGCCTACAACTTACTTAAAACTCGAATGAATTCCCTTGTTCTCCAGGTGGGAGCCTGATGCTACATCAAAATAGACAAAATAAACGAAACTTTTCTGCCCCATTTTGCACTGGGAAGATTTGTGAGTTATTAACAGAACTTTAAATCACCTATGCTATTGATGAAGGATGCAATTGAAGACTCGACTAGGATGTGCGTCTCATGTGACTAAAACTAAGAAAATTTTGACTAGCAAATGCGTCTGCTAAAAAAACCCTGAATAACCCGGACTAGGAAGTGCGTCTCCTAGGGTAAAACTTGAATGAACAAAACTAGGAAGTGCATTTCCTAAAAAGTATAACCTGAAAGACCCAGACCAGGAAATGCGCCTGCTAGGGGTAAAACCTTTAACCTAAAATTAGGAAGTGCGCCTCCTAAATAAATAAAATCCGAAAAAAACCAAACTAGGAAGTGCGTCTCCTCGATTTGAGATTGAGCTTGCAAAAAACTATAAACTAAGTTTGACTAAAGTAAAAACAGATCCTATTCTCCAGGCAGGGCCCCTGATTTCAAGAAAACTAAAGATTGATAACTTAAGAAAACTAAAAATTGACCCCTTTTTTCAAAGCCAAACTCCTTTTTTTTAAAACTATCCTAGGAGAAAATTCATCAGACTAGATTTTCTATCTTAGGAGAAAGATTCATCAGACTAAGACGTTTATCTTAGGAAAAAGTTTATCAGACTAGGTTTTTTTTTGTTTGGCATCTTAGGAAAAAAATTCATCAGACTAAGATTTTGATCCTATGAGAAAATTCATCAGACTAGGTCCATTTTTGTTATCTTAGGAGAAAGATTCATCAGATTAAGATTTATATCCTAGGAGAAAGTTCATCAGACTAGGTTTTCTATCTTAGGAGAAAGATTCATCAGACTAAGATTTCTATCCTAGGAGAAAGTTCATCAGACTAGGTTTTCTATCTTAGGAGAAAGATTCATCAAACTAAAGATTTTGATCCTGGTCCCTTTTTGTTATCTTAGGAGAAAGATTCATCAGACTAAGATTTCTATCCTAGGAGAAAGTTCATCAGACTAGGTCCTTTTTTGTTATCTTAGAAGAATGATTCATCCGACTAAGATTTCTATCCTAGGAGAAAGTTCATCAGACTAGGTCTTCTATCTTAAGAGAAAAATTCATCAGACTAAGACATTTATCCTAAGAGAAAGTTCATCAGACTAGGTCCTTTTTTTGGTGTCTTAGGAGAAACATTTATCAGACTAAGATTTCTATCCTAGGAGAAAGTTCATCAGACTAGGTCTTTATATCTTAGGAGAAAGATTCATCAGACTAAGATTTTTATCCTAGGAGAAAGATTAATCAGACTAGGTTTTCATATCTTAGGAGAAAAATTTATAAGACTAAGACGTTTATCCTAAGAGAAAAATTCATCAAACTAGGTCCTTTTTTTTGTTATCTTAGGAGAAAGATTCATCAGACTAAGATTTTTATCCTAGGAGAAAGATTCATCAGACTAGGTTTTCTTATCTTAGGAGAAAGATTCGTCAGATTAAGATTTCTATCTTAGGAGAAAGTTCATCAGACTAGGTCTTCTATCTTAGGAGAAAGATTCATCAGACTAAGATTTTGATCCTAGGAGAGAGTTCATCAGAGTAGGTCTTTTTTTTTTCTTTTTTTGGTATCTTAGGAGAAAGATTCATCAGACTAAGATTATTTATTGGGAGGAAAATACATCAGACTACGACTTTTTATCCTAAGAGGAAAAATGTGACGAGCAAATAGCAAAATTTTATGCATACGAGCAAGATAGAAAGAGGCAAAGATTTGAGAAACTTCCTTTTGTCGGCTCTTCTCTTCCTTTAATTTTTTTTCTTTTTTTTTGTACCACTTTTCTTGCACTGCTTTGTTCCTGTTTCAAATAAAGAAAAGTTTATCAGTTTTAAAAGTGGTGATCGGTTTGTGGCCTTTGAGTCTTGGGCAACTTGGCCTTGTGTCCATTCTTTTTTAGAAGACCGACTACCTTGGTAATTGGCCGCACTGCTGGGAGACTCTGTTGTTGCTTTCAAGGAACCTTTACTTTCTGTATCAACCCTGATTATTTTACTCCCAGTGCCATTGGTGTTTTGTGGCTCAATCAGCCTTATCTCGAAATAGAGATTTTTTTTCTTGGATAACCTTTTCTGATATCTTGAATGGTTTTTGCTTTTGAAGCAATTTCTCTGTCAAAGAGAATCACAACTGGAAGTGTCTTTTGCATGATGTGCACACTCCATAGTCCTTGTTTAGTGCTACCGAGAATCCCTTATTAATCTCAAAGTTTTTTCTTGCTTGCTTTAGACAAGTAGGCCGACAAAGGTCTTTTTTTTTTTGGAGGGGGGAGCTTTGCATGAATCCTCAAGGCCTGTTGACAGTAGCAACTGAGTGTGATGGCCAAATTTACTTTATGCAACAGAAAAGCTGGTAGTAGATTTTGAAATCTTTTCTTGCTTGTTTTGACAAGGACTGACTTAGAGTGAAAGACACAATGATGTAAGGAAATAATATTAACAAGAAATGCCCTGTCGAGAAGGACAAAAGGAAAAGTTGTTTTTTTCTTTGCGGTAACTAGCCTTAATGATCATGACATGTATTTTGGACTTAACGGCCTGATCTATCAAACTGATCCAATTTTCTCTTTTACCATTCTTATGACCTTTGAAGTCGGGCTTGTTCATGTCAATTCTTTGCATCTGCCTCACGACTCACTTTCGACTAGTGGTGCCCAAGGATTTTTCACCAACATGTCTCTCTCATTTATTTATCTCTATTTACCATCATCTTACCGTGCCCATGAAAGTTTTCACTAGTAAGACTCTCTCATTTGTTTTTCTTTTTTTATTTTTTACTTTTGCCTTCTTGTGTGAGCAACCTGACAGTGTTCTATGTAACGTGACCACCGTTGCTCATTGCATGCTTCTTTTGACATTCTCGAAGACATATTGGGAGGTCTTTATTTGGAAGATTTTTGGATAGGGTAAGAAAGAAGGGTCGGCATGAAGGCTCAAAGTAGACTCAAAAAGAAGGGGGTTGTAGACTTACAATTCTTGGAATCGACACTTTCAAAAGTGAAATAAAATCTTTGCCCCAGTTTTAGCTATTGGGGATTTTTTGGAATTTTTTTCTTTCTTTTTCTTTGAATTCTTATTCTTATTTGGTTGGACCGAACCGTGAGGCTGCCTACGTATCTTTTTTTTAAGGAATACGTAGTTCAAACATCTAACCTGACTATAATTTTTTTCATCTTTCTTTTTTGTTTTTTTTGTTTTTCTCTTTTTTTCTTTTTTTTTTGCTTTTTTTCTTTTTCTTTTCAAAACAAATTGCCCCAGCCTTTATTTTCTGAGGATATGAACCTTTGACTTTTTTTTTCTTTTTTTTTCTGAACTTTCTAAGAGTTGTCCCAATTTGTACTCTTGGGGCGTGGACTTCTTTTTTCCATCATTTTTCATTTTTATTTTTTTATTGGACTTTTAACTCTAAAGTTGATTCCAAAAGAGGGTGGTCAAAGAAAATAACATAGGCTCAAAAGGGGTAACAAAGGGTATAAAGTGCTCGGGTAGCAGAAAAAGGACCTCCCAGCCTCGAGAACGCCAAACATAATATCTTTTCGCGATCACAACATTGGCGAACATGTCTATCTTCTCGGTGTGTCGTGGTCACAAGACACTTTCCATCCCTTATGTCAAACTTTCCAATAAACTTCAATTGATTAAACATCCTCAAGCTCC